AAAACTACAAATTTGAATAGTATTCGGAATAAATTGTTGATCTTTGTTGAATTGTGTTTGGAAAGTTTGAAAATTTTTGAAATTTAAAGTTGGAAATTTTTCTAATTCAAATCAGAAAAACTCAAAATAGAGCTTCTCATCGATGCATCCAATTAATGATAGCTAAATGATGTCACAAAAATGAGACAGATAATTTAAATAAACCAGGAAGCTATATTGGAAAAAAAAACCCTATAAGATGAGGTTTTCGAGTTACCGAAGCCTAGCTATTGATACGATGAAGAAAAAAAAAAAGAAAAAAAAGTGGATATCTTATTCAAGCCAACGTGGAACTATTACTGTCAAATGAGGAAGAAAAAAAAAGAGTCTGGTTATTTAGGTCTAGGACGAAAGAAAAATAATCCTTTGGCACTCTGCATTTACAAATATGGCTGCGATGAAAAAAAAAGTGTATAGAAATAAGGACAGCTCGAAGAAACTAATTTACATAATAGCCATGCCTTTTGTTGCCCCTCCTATATGTGGGTGGCAGGGGAGCTCGGGGGGAAAGGGGTAAAAGTACAATGGACAGATGTATGGATGAACGGAGGTGGATAGAACAGCTGCTCCATTAATGCTATCTGTGAATCATGAAGCATTTGAAGCTCTGCTTGAAGAATCTTCTCATTGTGTCATTTTCTAAGTACAAATCTTTCGGGGACAAATACCCGAGATGACATTTTGATCTTAACATTCAAAGCAACCATTGATTTAGTCCAGCAGATGAATGACTTTAAGTTATCAGAATGCCATCGATATCAAATGACCTGTAATGGGTTCTCATCGAAATATACCAAAGTGGTCACTTGCCGAAGTTGAAAGTTATTATTCGTATTCTTAACTTCGTTGCTTTGCTATCTGCAACAATGGATTTATTAAGGTTCTGCTTTCTGTCACACTTCTGTTACTTACCGGGACATAACCAATGATTCCTAATTGGTGATTCGCGAGAATGTGAGTATGATCCGCACCAAGATAGGAGTGCGGTCAATGGAAAACAAGCGAGAGAGACTATTCCTATCAATGTTTGATAAACTAAAAGTTTTTGATTAAAGATTGTTTTCAAATTAACACATTTTATTATTTTTTTTGAAGTTGGATCTTATGATTCCTTACTGCAAATAAAAAAGTTAAAATGATTCCTGGTCAAGAAAAGGTCAGAAGTCATCAAGTTAAATAAATATATGCTAATGAATGAAGCCTGAAATGGACAAGAAATTGTAGAAAGTCTTTGGCCCATTTTGTCTAACATCATTCATCATTACAACAAATAGATGGAAGCATTCATTGTTAAAATTCGAAAAGGTAAGCACACAAAACAAGCTGACTAAACCTAAATTCAACTTTGAGAGAAACATTGAAACAAAAAAACAAAAACAAAAACAGAAAATATGACTAAACTATTTCTAGAAGTTAAAGATCGCTATTCTCCATTGTGTTTTTACTTCTTATAATATGATCACGAATCAAATTCCCAATTAGATGGAAGAACATTATAAAAATTGAATAATTAAAGTCGAATAATCGAAAAATCGAATAATCAAAAATCGAACAAATCGGAAAACTGAATGAGAAATCGAGTATAAAAATGTGTCAACCGTGAAGAAAGTGTCAAAATAAAATGAAATTTCAATGAATTAGGGGAAAACAAAAATAGCATAAAATTACCGAAGAGAGGAAAATCACATTTGTCGCTTATCAGTAACTTCTACTAAAGTAATGCTTAGCTAAATTTTTTTAATCATTTATAATAACTAACTATGTTATCATAATCTGGAAGTGTTTCACGCCATTGTCAGTAAAAATACGTAAATTTAAGCATCATTCGTAATTAAATACTTAAAGATGGGACGAAAAGATAATTAAATGTGCACCAAATGAAAGGTATTTGTTTAAAAAAAAAAAACCATAAATGAAAGAAAAAAATTTAAAAATGAACATTTTTTATTTCATTTATTAGGCACATTTAAGTAACAAGAGAAGAAATTAGCGAAAACTTAGGGTCTAGGACTTTAAAGCTTTCTTTGTAATCTAAGATTTGAAACTTTTTTTGTACTTACCCTTCATGGAGATATTATTCACTCTAGTTATGATGAATATCTTTCATTTCCCATTACTCTTTGAAGAAGTTGTCTCAAAGCTTAACATTCCTTTTGTATAAACAATAAGATATAACTCATGAAGTTTTATTGAAGGATAAATTTCAGGAACTTAAGGCCTAAAATCTAAAGTTCAAAGCTTAGATACCTTTAATAAAAATATGCAATTAAAGGAGAAACTGTAGTAAAAGAATAAGACATAATACGGGAATTGTCATAGTTTGCAAAAATTAAAATGACACAAATTCAAGCAAATCTGGTAAATATTTAATGAAAAAGTTGCATGAGATTAAAATAATTTGTAAAAAAAGAAAGGCATTCTATACTTTCAAAGGTCAACAATCATATTGCAATTAGGAGAACCTAATTTATCAGCATTCAATTCTTTCGTCAATGCTGTAAGACAAGAAAAAGGTCAAACCAGAATAAAAGGTTTTTTTTTCAAAATTTAATTGACACTGAAAACACAATGATTAACGCCAATAATATATATAATTTAACAGCTTAAAAAAACGACAATATACTGTTAAAATTCCCAATCAATTAATAGTTTTGCCTTTCAATTTACTCAATCTTTCGTTAAACAAATTTATTAAAACAAAAATGTCATCACTTTCATTTATTATTCCATTTTAAAAGAATTATTTGAAAAGATCATCAATCATCATTAATATATCTTCCCTAAGGAATGAATGTTTTGAAAAAAAAACATATTTAAAAAAGTTGGTGACATTTTTTTAATTGTAATTTTAAATGGAAAAGGACCATTTTTTTCTAGGTAACTTTTTAATAGTACACAAGAAAGAAATTTCCTTTCTGTATATCTCATAAAAAGTTTCTCTTCTCTCTGATTCTATTAATCTTTTTTTCTTTTTTTGCAATAATTTTTAAAATTCAACATTTCAATTGAATCAAACGAGATCAATGCAAATACCTTTTTACTTTTTACCAATAACCTATTCAAATTTATTTTGAGTAATCAATAAATGCCATTACAAATCTATTCATAAAAAGTTGTCAGTTTGGAATTTAAGAAGATTATAAATAGGATTGTTCATCAAGTATTTTGAATAGTTTGGAAAAAAGTCAATTAAGGACAGAAAGATTATATGCAACTTTGGAAAATGTGAATGAATCATTTGAATCCAATGGTCAAATATTCCATTATTTATGTATTACCAACAACCTATCCAAATCTATTTTTGAGTAATCAAAAAACGATTTAAAATCTGTTCAAAAAAAAAAAAATGTTTCCTAAGAAATCGAACAGTTGCTAATAATTAATAAAACAAAATAGAATAACAATTTATTTGACCTCAATTAATAAGAAAATAAAATGACTGATAAGAACAACAAACATTTTAATGCCAACCCAATTTAAATATACTTTATTATTTGCTAACTACAATAAAAACAAGAAAAAAATGCGACACTTCCTTTATCTGATTGTGTCAACTAGTTTTTGTGTGTGTAAAAGGTTAAGTTAAATAATCCATTATTGTTTTCTCAAAAGTGATCTTTGGAAATTAAATAATTATTTAACTAATAATTAACAAAATAAAATGACAATTTACTTGTCTTAATTGACAGAAAAATTGGAATGATTGACACGAACAATAAACATATCAATGTAAACTTAATTGAAATATACCATTTCCTAACTGTAATAATAACATGTAAGAAAAAAAAAGTGTGACAATTGATTTTGTCTTTATCTGAATGTGTCAACTAGTATTTGTATTCGTAAAATAAGAAGAGAGAAATTGTGAAGGAAAATTTCTTGTAGTTTTAAATAATCAAACTGCATCGGTCTTCACCATTATAATTATTCATAAAAGAAAGCAATTAAGGTGTACCCTCGAAACATCTAATACTTACGATATACATCTTCAACGGATCATCACAATAGATTTATTCTTTCGCACTCTTGGAATTTTGCATATTTCTATATGGGGTCACTGAACAGTTGTTGGGTAGTCGGAATATGAAGTTGGTTTAATTTGAACTGAATTTCAGGCGAACTGAATTGAACTGGAAGAGTGCAGATAGTAATCCGGAATTTGAAATTGAATGAGTTACGATACATTTCATGATAAGCTAAATAAAGTAGCCATGCGGTAGCAAAAAAAAAAAAAAGAAATGGAAAGGAAAGATAAGTCAAGGCATTTCCATTGTCAGTATTTATATAAAGTCAAGCCAAGGCTTCTTCATTGCCAACACGCAAATAAAGCCAAAGCAAGGCTTGCAACTTGGAAGTATATATTATCATCAGGTCGTGATATTTAAAGTGATGAAAGAAAATAAAGATTGCAGTAATCGAAACATTTGCTCCAAAGTGTTGTGTGTAGTAAACGAAAGCAGAAAAATAATGTTAGAAATGAGGACAAGTGTTTTAGGTCTGCTTAAGGTTTTGTCTAGTTTCGAATTGAGGCTCTCTTCCTTTCTCTCTACTTCTGGCTTCAATCCACATACACATACACACACACGCACACACACACACATATATATATATATATATATACACACACAACACACACACACACACACACATACACACCGTTTATCCTTACCTCACTGCTTTCATCCAACCTCCCATTTATTCGGGTTTTTTTTTTTTTTTTTTTTAACCATTAACTTATAATCATTGGCTAAAATGTAATCATTGGCCAAGTTATAGCGAAAGCAAGCCAATATATGTCCCATTCCAATTCCCATCCAAACTACATTTCTTCCACACTGCTTAGCCTATTGCTATCTCTTTGTCACTCTATAATGTGTCAATTGAGTACACGTCAATATGTCGTTCTTCATATCTTGCAATAGAAGTCAATTATGTGAAGGTGACGCTGTCGTCATTTATCACATTTATTGTGTCATTCTAGAAAATAGCCTTCCGGGAAGTTCTAGCCAGATAGTTGTGGAAGGTTATAGCCAGATATTGCATTATAGGTAACCTATTTTTTTTTCTTATACATTTAATTAACAGCAATTCTGCCATTGGCCATTTAATTAGGACAGTACCTTTATCTGAATGTGCCCAGAAATTTCTATGGGTAAATTGGTACTTAGTGATACAGTACAGTGGAGAATTTTTCTGGAAGCTTATGAATTTTCCTTACCTTGGATAGAAACAAAAATACAACAGTTTTCTTCAAAACCTTTCCACATGAGCAGATAAATTGGAAACTATGACCAGACAAATTATTATATAAATTATGAAAGATCATGGCCAGATAGCTGTGTTATAGGAAAGCCTAAAAATGTGTATTTTATGGGAAAACTCCCATAAGCTTTCCTCCAGCAAGGTGATCAACAATTTTCTTGTTAAGTTGCATGAATAAAGCTGAAATAAAGACATTGTAAATCAAACATCATCGGATTTGAAGCCAAGCTAACAACCAAAAATTTAGTATTATTTTCACAAAGAAAAGTATCTTAAAGTAGTCTAAACTAAGAGATTCGTACGATGAGCAATATAAATTCAGGACGTCCAATTATGCATTTGATTCCAGCTATTGGTTTTTTCTAATCTTCATTCTCAGATATGATAAGCATGATCTTCTAGACATCTTATCAACCGATCTCTGATCGCTTAACGCCCTGATCTCTGAAGGATAAGATCCGTCTGGTAGTATAAATTATTTCGATAATTAATAGTACAGTGTGTAAAAATATATATATTTATGAACAGATATGCGCAAATGAATTAAATGAATGAAGAAAATTTTTGAAATTATACTCTCCATAACCAGTTGTACTCTGTTTGCAACATTTGTACAATGCAACAGCAGAATGGACCCGTTTCATCATTTCATCTTATTGACAAAAAATTTGTCAAGAATTATTATTATCGGTTAGTCTTCTATATCGATATCCGGTCTCTTACCATTCTATATTCAATTTCGTAAAGAGTATTTATGATACATAAGTAAAGTAACAAAACTTTTCATCGTATTTTTTATCGAATTTCCTTCAAAGATTGCTTGAAAATGGAAAAAAATTGAAAGATTTTTGAAATTAAAATACAAAAACTTAAAGACTAATACATAATAAAAGAAGAAAAAAAGGATAAATGATAAAATGTCCCTATTATTTATGCAAAAAATACCTTCTTAACATGAATACTACTAAAGTACAATTCCTCTGTTCGAACTAATTCAAATACAAACCGAAAGCCATTTTTTTTAAAATAATCAAATCAATGTAATCCTCCATTTACAATCAATTTTCCATCTTTCACAGTACTATGGTGATCAAAGGTCAATCAGAGGTCAACTTTCCCCCTAAACCTTCCTTACCTTACTCTATCTTACTTAATTAATGAAATAAAGAATTGTCTTTTGAGAAAGCAACGGAAAAACGGATGAATATAATGGAGCGATGGATAATATCCTGTCTTGGCAATATTTATTCGAATTCATCGAAATTTAGAAAGGCGGGAGACGAGGAAAATGGGGAGCGGTGTGAGTCATTAAGTTGAGTAGTGTGGAAGTCAAGTTGACCTTGCGTTGACTTGCTTTTGCCTTGACTTGTCACAACCATTTCACAACAGCATCCCATTCAATTTAATCCTTTATTCAAATCATGAATATTCAATTCGTCCTTTACAACCTACCGTTCATTAAATCTATAAATGGATTGGAAGCGCATCAGTGACAAAAATGCTTGCAGAAATATTTTAGAAGTAACGCTCAAGTGTTTATTCTGGAATTAATTAGGTTCATTTGTTAATAAGAGGTATGGTATCGCGTGATATTGTATGAATATTCTTTGATAGTACTATGTGTGACACAAGAAGTCCATTGAACTGAATTATTGAGGAGACAGAGACCCAGGAAAACACAAGTCCATCCATCCTTCACACCAGCTGGGAAAATATTATTGCATGTGCAACCGCATTATTTTCATGCTTCAATTCATTTCCGGTAGCCTTACATTTTCATTAATAGAGTTGGCCTTTCAGGATGAAGGTGCTTGGTGGAAGTAATGTTATACATTTAATTTCGAACTTTCATCCTCATTAGCACATCACTTCTCCGTATTGTTCTTCAGGTCAAAAAGTTTTTTACATCCGAAAGTGTCAAGTGAAAGAAATGCGATAGAAAAGGTCATTTGTACGGTCAGTTGTTTATTTTTGTCTGGTCTTATTATTGAAACTTTTAAAAATTTGAGTGTGATTCTTTTCCTTAGTTTTTAAATGGGCTATCATAGGCTTGACCTTTGAAAACCGCTGGATTAAGACATCAATCAGATATCGCTACCATCATTTCTGTCTGATATCATCATCTCAGGCGACACGCTGTGCTATTGGTATTTCTGTCGCTTTCACGAAAGATCAATAAATTGAAACGAAAGAAGCAGGAATTAACTGTTTTTCCACATTTCATTGTAATTACTTGGAAGAGGGGATGAGGTTGTCACATAAGTTGGAATACGTTTGTTTCCCATTACCACGTGAATATGGTTGCAGATATGATTTGTTTTGATAATGTTTGTTTACGCAGTATTATTTCCTTTATACGTTGGTTGCCGGTTATTTTTATTCTCTCATTACTTTGTTGGGCATATTTTGCATACGTCGTACAGTTATGCTTCTGTAAGTTATCCTTTATTTCCAACACTATAGCTTTATTTCACTGCTAATTATTCGGCTAAATAGTTGTTAAGTCAGAAAAGGAAAAAAAGAAACTTTATCCAGCTTCACAGGCACTCTAAACTGCACCATTCTTCACAATTACTATTATGGGTAAAACTCATTCAGCTCATTTTTATTGGCTAAACTGATTTAAAATGGAAATAGTAGATGAGAAAAAAAATAAAGAAAATATATTTATATTGCTCTTCTTAATCTAGATGCATTTTATTAACTAATATCACCATATCTTTATTGCGTTCAGTTACGGTCGAAAGCGGTTTCGAACGTGTTGTGTACCTGTTTGTCTTTCATTTATTGTTGTTTATGTTTTTGTGGTCATACTATGTAACGATTTTCCGACCTGTTGGCCGGCCACCCAAAATGGTAATATATTTTATTATATAATAGATTTGCATGTATGCTGTGGAGTCTCAAAATTCGGTGTTAATTATATGAAATGACCAAAGAATTAATAATGGTTATTCTAGAAAAATGTTCGTAGGAATTTAATAATATATTACGATATTTTCCCATACATTACACAGAAATTCCTATCAGCACCTTGTTTTACAGTATGAGCATTTCATTTTGCAGTTTTATGTTGACTCACAAACGCGGCAAGATCTCTGTAGTTTAGAAGAATTGGAATGCAAAGAAATATTGGAATGTTACGTAAGACAACATCAGATTTCAGTAGACAACCGTAATAGCGATGGAAGTATGTCTTCTCGAGTTTTTTTTTTTTTTTTTTTTTCAGATTTTATCCAGTGGGACCAATTTTTCATTTTCATCATAAAGATACTAACAAATTACTTTGTAGCATGTCAACCTTTTGATGCTTTTATATGTTATGGTTCCAATAATTAATGTGCTGAGTAATGTTATTAAATGAAGTGGTAGCCCAACTGTCGGTGGATCAAATAAAGTTAGGGTCATAAGTTCTTTCTGAAATCTGTATATACCGCCATGCGAAAAGGCACACAATTAACTTTATGGCTTTTGTGCCAGATAATTATTTTTAGCCTTTCTAGCAGTACGATTAAATATTACAGAATTTTGTGGAACGTTTCAAAGTTTTGCGCAAAATTTATCTTGCTATTTTGGCAAAGGTTTCAGGTATACGGTACTGTTATAAATGTAGTTGCATCAAACCTGATCGTTGTCATCATTGCTCTGTTTGTGGTCATTGCGTTTTGTAAGTTTTGCTTTATATGTTTCTAAACTGCAATTGGTAAATCTCCTTAATTACAGTTATCGTGACCAAGAAATCGTGGTGATGGTATTTTCAGGAAATTTGATCATCATTGTCCTTGGGTCAATACGTGTATCAATTATTTCAATTATAAATTTTTCCTTCAATTTCTCTTTTACGGTCTTATTTTGTGCTTTTGGAGTATGCTAACAGATTTAAAATATTTCATTGCATTCTGGAAAGTAAGTTTTGCTTAAAAATATCAAAATAATGCTTTATATAGTCAGAGTTTAAGCAATAACATTAAGAACAAACAGACAGTTCTCCATAATTACATCACTTCACTGATTCCAGAATGCTTTACGACTAAGTGCTGGTTTTGGCCGCTTCCACATCGTTTTTCTCTTTTTTGTGGCTGGAATGTTCGCGGCTTCTATTACTTGCCTACTGACATATCATGTTTATTTGACGGCGCGAAATCAGTCTACAATTGGTCAGTTATGTGTCTGCTTTCTCCAATACTCAAACACTTCCTCGCATATGTTTCTAAATTAAGATACTCCACACAATTTTTGGTTATATCCGCTTGTCTTTATTGTTGCAACGACAAACTGCTTGCTCAAAGACTTGCTCTTGCTTAAATGCGTATATAAATTTTTGGAAAGAGATTGCAAAATGTTTCTTTTTCCAAAGACAGCATACATAAATTTTTGAAAAGAGATTGCAAAATGTTTGTTTTTTCAAGGACAGCTGTAGAATTAGACAGTTAATGCAGTCAATTATGGAATCATTTGAATTTATATATTAACTTTCCAGAATCATTTCGTCCTCCTGTATTCATATATGGTATTGATAAAAATGGCTTTAATCTTGGCATACGACGCAATTTCAGACAAGTTTTTGGTGATACATACCTCCTCTGGTTCTTACCTATATTTTCATCGTAAGTATTATTTCTGTGCTATTTTTAGTGGATTGAATCTTGCGAGGCTTAGAATATTTTTATTTTTAACAACTTAGTTTGTGTAGTGATATTAGTTGAACTTCAGTTGCGGTGATGGCGTACAGTACCCGGTGGGTTCTAGGGCAAGACAACAATCGCACGGTCTGCATAGCACGGGTAAGGTTTATAACAAATAGTCACAATGACATACATGACAGACGCTTCGGATTAAATGCAGGATTGTTTTCGCTGAATTTTATGTTTTAACAATGATACTTTCTACGGAATCTTTCTTTTATGACCATTATTTTTATTGGTAGGAAGCCTACTTTGTTTTGGTGTTTAATACAATTTAGGTCATATGTCCTGTCTTACGAATCTGTTACGCCCTCTACCGCGTAGTTCATTTTACTATGTGAGAATAGTGATGTGGTTTACAAGTGAAAAGATAGTTGATTTCTTTTAAGACGTGGAAGTGGTATAACTTTTCACAGGAAAGGCTTTCGAGCTGAACGGAAAAGGCTTTTACTTCTCGATTCAGATGATGATGACGACGATGCACTGCGTGAAATATAAAAAACTCTTCCTCGTAAGAGATCCCATACTTTATTTCTCATTGTTTATATCACTTTTTTTTTAGAACGATGCGCCATATTTTGTTGCATACGCGAATAAATAATCTGTTTTTTTTCGAAGGTTCTTAAATTTAGTTGTGCCATTGATATCTGTTCCAGAACACTAGGAAGAGTAATGAACTTTGTAGCATATTTCTATCGCTTTTTGAATGAAATGCTTCTCAATCAAAATTATCACACCAACACATTGATGATCATTTGCTACAAAACTAAAATTAGCACATTCGGAGAGTGGGTGCGATTTGACATTCACTTATGAACAATGAGTGTTTAGAATTCCGGACCCAATTTTTTCGTTTCTGTGTTTGCAATAAATTTTCAATAGTTATATTGAATATTATATATTGTATATTAAACTTATTGTAGAACTTCCTATGACTGAGGAACTTATTATTTATTTGAAAAATCACTTTCATGCTTGTGCTGCCCACAACGTTGTTAGATTATTTTTGTATTTCTTAAAGTAATTATTTAGCTTGTTTATGTTATATGTGATACATTCTTTGCCATATTTCAGATTTTCATTATTTTTATATAGACTGATTTTCACTCAGTAAAGAGAGAATGAAATCACCCTTTTTGACCAGTCAGTCACGTAATCCAAATTCTTCTTCAATGCCTTGTAAAAGCTCATCAACCTCTTCCAGATCTTGTGAATTCTCCTGGAAGGACGCAATTTTACAATTCATAGTCATACTAATATTTTGAAAAGCTGCGTGTGTAATAGAACGGCGTGTTTAAAAGTAGTTATATGCTTATACATTCACTAATGTTTGCTATTATATAAATCACTAGTGCAGCAGTGAGCTATATAAATCACTAGTAGTAGTGAGCTATGTTACGTGGAACATGATAGAGGAAGACTGTCGCCAAACAAAGCAAATCGGCTCTCATCTTTTTTAGTACATCAAAATAATTGTCGCAATGGTGACAGGAAAGCTGGTTTTAAAAAGGATGAAAGAGATAACTGGATTAGGAGAACCATAAAAAAGCACTAAGTCTTACATTTTCTTGTCCCCTTGATTCTTCTAAGGATACGATACTTTGGACTTGTTCCATAAGCTTAACATCTTCATCATCCATTTGTCTTACCGTTTTATTGTCACTACCGATTTGCATCTGGTTGTCCTGAAAAAAATTTCAACAGCGAAAAAATAACTGGATTCCATTCGATATCTTCTGGATTCCTTTTACATAAGCTATTACTTACTTTACGGATGTTCTGAAAATGTTTCGCTTTCTAGTTAATGACTGGTCACAACTTACACCAACTGTGACGGTTTCTTCTATGTTAGGAATACTTTCTAGTGCATCAATTTTCACTGCAGGAGCAATAAGTTCATTGGGTTCGCAGTGATGTGATGTAAGCACATTTAAGCTTATAAGTTCGCTAAATCCATTTATTTGCTGTCGATTCGATCTAAAAAGTTCCTATTACATTTGCAAGATAGACAAAAAAGTGGACAGCAATCAAGAATATCATAGAAAGCGGAAGAGACCTTTTCAAATTATCATCCGCTATAACCGAATATATCAACTCTGATACATCAACAGCTCTTTGTATTGCTCGATCAACACACTGCACAATCTGTAACTTATTTACAAACCTATTTAAGCTTGCACTCTTCAACTGGGATCTTCATTAGCACTAATTAATATGACCACGTTTGAAGAAAGCGTATCAGCTAACGAAGATGTTGGCTTACCAACTGCTCACTAAGCAGGAAATTTCCTGACTGATGCAATGCACAAATTTCATGCCTTTTATTTGTAGCCACAATAAGCGACCCTCTTAGACATTGTTCCTCTTTATCAGTCGGATCAATTATATTTTGGCTGAAACGAACTACGATAGGAGAAACAGTAAATAAAAAAGTAAAAAGAGGACAAAAACGTTATCTAACAACGACGCTAAAATCACTTTCGTAACCAAGGATGCCGCATTTCCTATCCTTTTTTTATTTAACATTTCTTACCCGTCTGAAGTGATTCCAAATGTTATACAAACCGGCATGTGATAGATATTGAGCGATATCGGCATTTTCTCGTCATTACCGTGCTGAAAACTTCATATTTCGAAATGCAGGAAAAAGCGATATAACAGTAAATGACCTCACAATTATTACGATGAAATAGCATTTCTTCACAACATCTAACTCATGAGATTTTGTAAAAAAACGCCACTTCATATATAATGATTAAAAAACGCTTGCAATGATGATGGAATCAGGAAGCACAGAAACATCGGGTCTTCGAAAATGGGCAAGAGCAGTTAAGGATGCGATACAGGCACAGTCCACTAACGACCCATCTGAAGCCAATACATGAACATCAATTCGTATCTGCCAGACCTGAAAATGGATGACTCCAGAAAAATGCACAGCCAAAAGATTTTCATAGAACTGTCCATTGCTTTGCAGAAATTTAGCTCATAATTTCAGTATATGAAAAAATGCACTGAACAGCTAAGTACCTGCTTAAATGTCCTTAAGCACAGCGATTCGAGGTCAATAACACCAGAGTTACGATATAACAATTCAAGGATTCGCATTAGTTCAAGACCTTTTGAACCGAGACGACCATCTTCATAGTCAGGAGAGGCCATAGGTGACATATCTACATGTACTTCAACCGTGCCCATATTACCTCTAACAGTTGAAGGTTCCACAAGTGAACAACTCACTTGTGCCAAAACTCTGGAAAATATTGAGTTTATTAATAAAGTTATTGTTAAAACATAAAAAATTTTCCGAGTCCGAGATTTTCAACCTTTATCTAATCTTCAGGCTATTTTAGCGATGAGGTTCCCATCTTTAGTATGTTCAGATAAACGGACTTACTTCGTTTCTCCAAGCATAACAAGACAACTACCAAGCTCAGAACCAACGATAACTTTCACTTCTCGAAATTCATCACATTTGCGTCCATCAATTCGCTGTAACCACAGACATCATCAAAATTCCAGTCACATGCTAACTGAATCATCTAATATTCTTTAATCCTCATAATATTTTATGAAAATTTCTTCATATGATAAATTCATCCCCACCAATGTTACATATCAATGGTATGAAACATACCACCTCCATGTACTTCCTAAGTTAGCTAAAAGGAGCACTACCCCACAATAACAATCATTAAATCATTTAATTGTCAACTTTTAATAATTACCACATTCTGCTTAAATGAACTGAGGAAGAATGCTCTCTCACAATTCGAAATCGGTTCAGCACGCATCCAAAATACACTCCACCCCTATTAGATACTATACCTGAAGCATCAATTCTTATTTGTTTTTTCTTATTTATGGTGTATAATTCGGAGATTACAATAGCAAAATAGTCGTTTCCGTGTAACTGATAGCAAAGCATCCATTGTTAATGTCGATGAGAACCTATGCATGTTTGTGGAAGAAAAAGATATTTCGACATACTGCATTTGAAGCAAGACACGATAAGACCATCAAATGACTTATATTTATTGAATTACTGTAGAACAGACATAAAAAAGACAAAGCCGACAAACAAACAAAAAAACGTTCAAAAAATATTTACGCAGAGAAATGAATCCTCATGTCAACTGCAACAATGACTAAAAATTCAGACTTTTACTGACGTCACTATGTACAAAAATGATATGAAAACAAAAGATCACTTTTTACTTTCCAATATTCATATTCGTCATTTGAACCTGAGAACAATATACATTTATTTTCTTCTGCAAATTGTCAACAATGGCATTTCTAGCTCGATATTTCTCGGGTAAGACTCCCTCTATCACTTCCATCTAAAAATTCAAAAGTTTTGACAATACCTTCTGAACAATTATTAATGCTTTAGCCTAACATAGTTCTAGAAATAACAGAAGCGGAAATCTGAAATCGCGCTTACAATAGAAATTCCAGATTCCGAATAATTGCACCTATAAGAGTAGTGAGCTGCATCTCTTCAACAGCACCAAGTTCCTATGGCAAAATTGAAAACTACCTACTTGGTTACAGCTTTCATGATGAACTACCGAGGAAACAAAAAACACCGCTAAATTCACTTAACAAAAATCTACCTGCTGTTTTAAGAATGCTTGCTTCCGTCTAAAGTAATCCACTGCTTTTTCAGTGCTCATCTCCACGAAATATCCTGTACCAATTTCAATCAGATGATTCTTTGGATCAGCTATTTTTGCAGGAATATACATCTGAAATACAAGTGTTAATAATGGAAAGGAAGAAACGATAACGTGAATATTAGAATGAATGAACCTCTCTTGTTTAGTATCTACGCTCAAGAAGTTGAGAAGCATATGCTCGACATATATATATATATGAAAAAAAAATACTGAAGCCCTAAATGTATCAAAAGCTACTCAAGATTATGGAAATGATAAAAAGGAAACTTGCCGACTCCGTTAATGGCACCAAAATTTCTCCATCACTAGGAACTTTGGCTGCATTCATCACTGATTCTTCACTTGCGATAAATTTCGATTCGAAAATCTTCAGTTCCTGGAATGCACCACAAACAAAGTAGTAATCCCGTGGAACTGCAACAATATCCTTAGAGGGCTTCATTAGAAAGTACCAGCGACTTAATTCTAACAATAACATCCGATGTAAAACAGATATCAGTTGATATCAGCAAAGCGTCATCGCTCCCACTACTTGGAAGCGATGACGGATTTTTCTTCTTTTTCAGCTGTTATCGAAACTCATCTATTCAAGACATCCCTGCATCAAGTGAGAATGGTGAATTGAAACAATATATTATAAACGGATAGGATGTGCAATTATGAGGTATTTCTTTAAGCTTTATCGGAAAATGAAGTCAAATGTTGAAATGCCAACTTTTAAGGATTCGGTGAGGAATGCAATTTCTTGGTCAAGTTGTCGCTGAAAATAAGTAAGTTGATCGACACCTAAATCAGCAATTGGAATAGCTTGTTTCTCATTCGCTACCTCCATCGTTATCTGCGTAAATTCTCTATAAAAGAAATAAAATCAATTTGAATTTGAAAAGTAAAATTTGCTAAGAAGCCACAGTTATTGAGATAACTTCCAAATTTAATCGGTTCCAATTTAGGAACTTAGTATTCTTCAATTCAGCCAATTTCACATACTCATATGCCAAAAGATTCATTCTCTGAATGACCCATTTGCTCAATGAAGCATAACCTTACAAATTAGAAAAAAGTCTTCGCATATATATATATATATATATATATATATATATATATATATAGTAGTAGTAGGTA